ATAATTATATATTTCAGAGAATATCACAAAATAACTGATATTATAAGCATTAGGGAAATACACGCGCCCACCTTACTAAAACCGAATTCAACATATGCACTTATGCTAGTAAAGATGAAAGAAGTGATTGACAGATTATGTGGACAACAATATTGAGCATAGGCACTTATTGTTGTTTTGACAAATCCAAGATATTTATTGTGTCAGAAATTATATAATATGGAAACACAGATGTCTAAAAAACTTGTGCTTCACAATGAACTAGCAAGAATTCAGTTTTTCTTTCACTAAAACGCGTAATGCATCTATTTTTAAAATAAATACTTTTTGAGTTTTCCGGATTAACTTGAAATTTAAAAGAAGTTGGAGACAACTAGCAAAATATAAAGAAAACTTGTTATTTAGAAAACATTTATCAAGTGTATTTATTTACAGAGAGGAATTAACTTAAAAAATATTTAAAAATAAGCATATTAAATGATAAGAAATGATATGGTCTTCTTTATACAAAACCGAATAAGTTTCCAGTAAAACCATAAGCAGGTTAATTAGTGCTAAGATATTCAGTCAGAAGATTAAAACACAAATATTAATTTTCAAGTATTGGTTTTGCACGGATTTAGTTTGATTGATTGGAGGATTTCATCATGAACTGACATCAGTTAGAGAACCACTGGAGTACTTGGCGGTGGTTTCGTCCTAGTTTTGGGCTCTTCAATAGCAGGCACCCACCAAAATTCGGACCTAGGGCCTTCTAGGCCATTGGATCGGGTTCCAGTGGCTGAATGGTCTACGAGGTCGCCTTGTAACCAGAAGGTTCTGGGTCCAAACCCCAGTGAGTGTGTGCTGCCGAAGAGTCACAAACTAGGACGAAATAGCTGTCCAGTACTCCCAGCTTGTTTTTCAATGGTTCTGTAACTGATGTCAGTTCATGATGAAATCCTCCAACCAATCAAACAAGTATTAATTAACTAACTACCACAAGATGTAATCAATTGTATAAACTTACATTTTCCAATACTGCCTGAGAATCTGTTAATTGTTTCCGGAGTCGATTTCGTTCTGCTTCACTTTCAGCTAACAACTGACGCCATTTACTTTCTGCTTCTTTAACAGATCCTTCTAATTTAGCCAGTACCTCTTCAGTTTGCATTAATGTAGACTAAAATAAAGAAATAGAAAATAATTTCCATTTAAACCTTAAACTCCACGTGTCACTTACTAACTGATGTTTAAGGCAGAAAAAGAGGTAAGAGCGGGCGTGAGCCTAGCTACCCTATTCGGTAAAAAAAACGACAACACCACTACTGGAACGTCAAGGTTAAAAGTTTGGAACGATAAGTATATTAACAGATCTATAATTCACAACGCATACAGTCCTAAGTGTTTGCGTGTATGCGCGCATTGGTGGAAATCTATCAAAATTACATTATAAAAATCCATGTTAGGAGAGAGAGGCACACTACGTCATGGATATTTATTAGTAAATCTAGATTTTTGTTTTATTAACAGCCCTCCAAGCTCTAGGAAAGAATAAACACTTTCAAATGACGAATGACTGACTTTCAACATAGAACTTTGCACAGATGTGCACCACTTCAAGTTGCCACACTCCATGAAGTACACAAAGGCAGAAAAGAGAGAAAATTCGGATCCAAAAGGACTATGATAAGCATAAAATTGAGGGAGAAAGAATAGTAACATCGAGGAACCTTAGGGTTTAATGAATACAGAAAATCACCAAGAGTGAATGCATCTACACTACTGACAATGATTCGAAGCTGTATCACCAATAGTCTCTACCCATTGATTCTTAGAATCCCGAAGACCCCAACCAATTAGCCTACAACTCCCTATGTGTGTCAGACCAACTGTCAAAGACTTTATGGACTGATGTCAGGTTTTGCTTTGACCACTACTAGCTCTTCTCCAAACTGATCATGTCAGCTAACACTGCCCATCGAGGGAGACGATCGAGCAGCATGCGTAACACATGTCCGAACCATCTCAACTGATTTAGCTTCACAACTTCATCGACTTACTTTGCCTCCATACCTAAAGCTCGACAACTAACCTCAATATCAATCACCATGCCATACCACTTAAAACGGGGGATAGAACGCGAACATCTGTGGTCACAGACATCTAAAGTTTTCAAATCTTCTACTTTCAATGACTATGTCTCAGCCATAAAGGAGGACACAGAGAGTTTGTGCGCTATACAAACGTCTTTTGATTGATAGCTGGGTATCACATCTACACCGGAGATGACTTAAGTCACTGAATGCCAAAAGAGCTGAGATTTCGTCAGCTTAATGATCGATGAGACTTCCCAAACAACTAAAGTGGTCAGTACACCCCATCACCACTTCACTTCCTATCCGTAAACTAGGAGTCAATGCAACATCCTACATTTGACAGGGGCGAACTACATACCAAACATACTAAGATTTCTGCTTAAGGTGGTCAGAAAACTGCATTTTATCAGCATCTTCAAAGATGCAAATATGTATATTTTCATTGCATGTAAATAAATGAATGTCACAGTGAACAAAATAAGATTAACGTCAATTTAACTTCTTTTTAAAGACGTTTTTAAACTGACTGACTACCCCTTTTTTTACTGCCAAGTTTAACTAGAGTAAATTTCACTTGATGATGGTGTTCAGCATGTCGTTAAACTATTTATTCATCGAATACATCAATATTACAAATCAACTAAAAATCTGAATGTGATTATCCCAGCATATATATGAATAGCTCAGAAATACTAAGGACATTGTCGGCTATAAAAATAAACATGTGCTGTGTAGGTGTCCTTGTTCCATTTTGTCAAATAAACATGACACTCAGAATTTAAATTACAGGTTTAACTGGTGTTTTTGGCACAATTATTTCGTGTGACAGAGATGAAATTGTATCTCTAATTCACTACAGTGCATAATTTCGTCATCAATATAATTCTTAAAGATAGATAGATAGATAGATAGATAGATAGATAGATAGATAGAGAGCTACCACTCCAAAAAAATCAAATCTCCAGTTGAATTTTCACAACCTGTAATTATTTATATCAATAATTATTCACATTTTTCGAGAGAAAAACAAAAAAAACTAGAAGCAAACTGACATATTGATAGTAAGGTACACACATATTTTTTCTTTCTTTCCTTTACGTTCCCCAGTGGAACATATGGCTTCAAGCTAGTAGCTTGAAGTTTTGGTAGCAGTGATGTTTAATTTTACAGGATGGGGTTGCCAGCCTCATGCCCAACCTTTCCTCTTTACTAGGATTACTTCTGGCTTAACGAGGTAAAGGAGTGCGTCGGCCGGGGATCGAACCCCGGACCATGTGAATGGTCCGCGAGCGTCCTAACCACTATGCCACCGACGCACTAGACACATACTGGCATATCTTAAAACTTGATATTTTAGAATAATACAAACGAGAGCAAACTAGTAGAATATTCTCTCGTGAGTTTAGATTTATCATTTTAGACAAAGTACAACAGGCAATCACCGACAGCAATATACACAAATCTTCTAGATGATGACTGACAAAATACTGAGATGAATTATTATTATTGTTCCCTTGGGTTCCTAGTGGAACACAGGGCTTCAACTCCACGTCTCCACTTGCTTCTGTCTTCTGCTGTACTTTTCACCTGCATCCAGGTTAGTCCATACTCTTTCCACTCCTCTTCAAACGATCCCCTCCATATCACCCTTGCACTGACGTCCTACTGGCCGCTTCCCTTTCGGGCTGGTTCCACTCGAGCAATGACCTGACGCGCGCGCGATGTCGCCCAGTGGCCTCCTCAGCGAGTGTCCAATCCATCTCCACTTTCTCCTGCATATTTGTTGGTTGGCGATTGGTTCGTGTTTTGTTTGTTCCCATAGTTTCTTGGTGATGATTCTTTCCGGCCCGGCAATCAGCTTAGAGCGAAGACAGTTGTTGATAAAGTTCTGAAACAGGCTGTTGGAAATATTATTTGTGACCCGCCCGCCAAGTTCATGATCCGTATAGAAGAACTGACTGACTTGACGTTGTTTGTATTGAAAATCCGACTGAATTTTGTTGTTGATTCTGGCTGAGTGACGAAGATTTCCAGACTGGTTTCAGGTTGATGAATGTGTTTCTCGCCTTCCCTATTCCCGATTTGACATCTTCGTCCGTTCCTGAGACAATGCTCCCTAGATTACTAGCTCGCTAGTTTTCTAGCCGGTCCCAAGCCCGGATAAAGAGGGAGGGTTGGAGCGAGGTGCTAGCAACTCCACCCCCAAAACTTAACCAAATAGCTACAGAAACTTCAACGCACTGAGGTGAATAAATAACTAAAACTACTATATAGTGTCTATTGCATTCTAAAGGGGGATAAAACATGGATTAATAATTATCATCACTAAACAAAAGATAAAAAAAAGTAACTTTCAACTTTTAATGAATATTCACCTTGTAATAATCAATTTCACTTAGAGCAGTTTGATAAAGACTGTAAATTTTTACACGTTCTTTTTCAGCAGTTTCAAGGTTACTTTCAACTTCAGATAAACGATTACGAAGATTTTCATACACTTGTGTGTCTTCACTGTCTTCTTTATTCACGCATACTTCTTCTGATTTAATATTTACTATAATTGATTCACCATTCAATTCTTTATTATCATTTAATGACTTTTTAACTGTTTCTAGCTGACAGGTTAACTCGTGAACTTTTTGTTCAGCAGTATTCAATTCCCTTGTAACATGCATTAAATCGTTAGAAAGATTAGCAACTTGTGCCCTTAATTCACTAGTGGCTGCTTCATTAACCACTTTCGATTGATTAGCACTTTCTAGTAGACGTTGTTTTTGGGCATTCAATTCCTAAACAAAAAGCAAAGTAATGAAAAGGTAAGCAGTTTACAAACATGTCAGTCAATTAAACAAAAGAAGCCTTTGTATTGTTAGTCTGAAAGCAACATCTGTACAGACAGGAAAGATGTACTGTCATAAATACAGATGAATAAAATCTAGTTATCTGGAGTGATAATTCTCACGGAAGAAGTAATGAACAGATGAAGTATTATATAGAAGAATTCCACGAACTCAGGATGAAAATGCATAAAAATACAAAGTGAAGTCCTAACTACCATATTACATCTTAAGGAATCTGTGTGAATCACTAGTAGCTGTTTGGATTTCTGAGTATTTGGTTTCTTATTTGCATTTTCGAGTGGTTTGCCAAATTTAAACATATTTCAACACATATTAAATAGTTGGAGGCAATCGGCCACAGGAAGCCCTATCTAGACCTAGGTTTCGTGCTAGTTGGCAGTCACCAGTCAGTCAGCAAGGCGTATCTGCAACCCTGAAGGAACTCGCATCCCTTCTGAGATTCGAACCCACGTCACCCACAGACACACACACACTAACGGTTTTCCTAACAATGGTGGACTAAATCATGCATTAGACCATGGGGTGTAGCAAGACGGGCATATATGGGAGAGGATGAAGTACAATGAAGCTGTGCTTTTGAAGCTCTATGTTCCTCTCGGAATAAATAATAGTAATAAATAGTTCAACACTAATGCCATTGGTTTCAAGGAATTTGCAACGACTAGTGATTCTGAAGAATCTAGCTCGGTGGACGATGATGTAAGAATGAGAAAACAAAAATCAGAATACAATTATATAGAAGGAATCTTACAGCAAACTGATATTCAAGGCTTCCGATAATTTCCGTCTGACGTTTTTCTTGTTGTAAACTTCGAGATAGCTCAGCTCTCACTTCAGACAATGAAATCGATAATTCCTGTAAAGTTGAAATAAGTAAAAATTAGTCATCAAAGACTTATTACTACTTACTTACTTACTTGATGAGACTTCAAATGCCTATGATGTTACTAAGGTAATGCTAATCAAATACCTTAGGGCTTCACAGACCTTCCAACGATTTTTTTATCTACGTGCTCAAAAACAACTAAATAATCTTTTGGGAGGTAAATTTTTTTCTAAGTCAATTGACGGATTTATATACACACACGTAACCACCATCAAAATTGAACAGAAAAATTCGAAGCGGACATCCTTAATCAATCATACTTAGTGCAGATGTTTCCTGCCATGAAGCAGTCAGAGGTGTTTGGTTATAGAATATTCATTAAAAAGGTGTACTTAGTAGGCTCCTCTTTCAGTGGCGGCGATGACATAGAACCTATTTCATAATTAATCCTATTCTCTGAACAGTACCAACCAGCCTTCTTTTTCAAAGTTACCAGATTGTAAGGATAAAAGTTTACTAGAACAAATGGAAAGGAGGCTAAGATCACATACAGACAGTAGATGATATTATAGGCATAAAATTGAGAAAATATTACCGACTCCGTAACTGACTGTTTAGACGAATCAATGGGAAGAAGTGTTCACAACGCTATAGACAAATTTACACAGCTGGGGAATGGTGCACTAGATATTAAGTTGACTGTGTGCAGCCCTAATTACTGATCATATAGGCGGTAAAAATAACCCTATTTTAACCGATTATCATATCGCTTTAAAAGAGTTGAATTCTTTCTGTATTATTTTGCTGCATTCAATTCTCCAAAAACAAGTTGGATCATAGCAACTAATCCGAATGAGTAAATATTCATAATTGTGAAACGAAATTTCAAATGAGACAGCATATTTCAAATAGGCATTTAAAAAAGGTAATAAAGTAGTCAAACCTGATTTTTTTGTTTTTCTAACTCTAATTCGCGGCAGCGAAGATTTAATTCCATACGTGCAGCTTCATTCTCAGCTTGCCTAATAAAAAAATTATATATAATTATGCGTAATTAACAGATTCTCCATTAATATTTCACATATAAACAAATCACCATGAAATCTTAGAATGCAAAAATATTGTGATTTTAAGAAAAATAATAAAACATTTTCATTTAATATATAAATCCGATTATGGTATATTTATTGCCGTAAAAGGTGCCAATTAAGAGTGTGCCAAAGACCTGATCTCATAGAATCGGACAGATAGGTTGACGCAATTACAATCTATTTGTGCTTGTGACAGTGGTACAACACATAACCTGTACGATTCTTCTTCTATGTGATATTTATTGGACAACAAAAGTGTATGAGTGACTAGTATTTTGATGGTAGGATTAAAAATCTGTGTTATGACGATGGGAACTAAAACTTGATATTAATGATTCAAGTCAGGCGATTAGCTAGCAATCTACAATTGCTCTCAATATACACCCTGTCTTATTTTAAACAACTTTTGATTATCCGCTAATATAGTGTTAATAGCCTAGTACTTTAAGTAATGATTGGAAGTGAGCAGTGATAATTAATATGCTTATGAACAGTAAATTTTGTTTGATAAGATAAGATAAGTTTACTTGATATACGAAAAAGTGATAATCAATAGATAACCTTTAGATCATAATTTATTGCTGATAATTATATTATGGTACTCATACGACTTTCTAATTTTCTTTTGATAATTCTATTTCTACTAATTTTCCAACAGGATACACAAGGGACTGCTATTGCAGCATCATTCCTGCTCCATTTATTGAGTATTGGTAAGGTGAACCGGAATTCACTGATTAATTCTCTCTCTTCGTCTGATTACATACCACCACTACAGTGTCCATATTTTATTCTTACATTCAAAAAGAAAATAGTTAAGAACAAGGGAAAGCATACTCTGTCTGTCGTTTCGAACGTAATTCTTCTAGGGCTGCTTCTTTTTCTGCATGTAATTTGTGATTTTCTGCACGGAAAACCTTGAAAAGAAAATACAATAAGAATGAGAGTTAGTTATTCAAGTTCAAATGGTGCAATAAACAATACAACAGTTACAAGCAAAAAATTTCATGACTTCAACAACAAATGACAAGTGTATAACAGGAATATGATACTTTCTCAATATTGGAACAGTACAGATGTTTCTTAGTGTTTTGTGTTTCAAAGAGGCAAATGATAACAGCAGGTCTAACAACAGGCTTATTAAAATCTTTTGTTAAGTGGAAATTTTGAGAAAACTCTGAACACTGGACTTGAATGGACACTAGGGACAAACACTTGACAGACATAGTTAGCGTAAAATATCAAAATGTAGAAACCTTAGACTTTAAAAGTTACTTTCGTATTGAAATGATGTCGGATATCACATCCACATTATAAATCAGTGAATGATTCAGAATTCGTATATGTTATAAAGGTCAAATATGTCGTAACCTTAACTAGTTTCGATGTAACAATCCCCTTATCAGAAACTAACAAACAGATTCTATTATGTATTATTATTGAAGGAAATATATTCCTTTTCAATTAGTTCCTTATCATCGGCTGACTGGCTGGCTCTACACTAAATATGGATTTTTACATCAAAATATTTTACCAACAAGGTGGTTATTCTAGTCAGTCACTTTTAGGTATAGGCGTGGAGTGAAATCAGGAGGTTAAAGGTCATCAAAACAAATAACTAATAGGTATTAGTAACAAGATATATACGTTTTAAAAGAGGTGAAAATTAATTAGCAACGGAATTCAAGACACGTTGGCAACAAGTTATTACATAATCAAGACATTTGTAAAATAGCAGTGATGACTCAGAGAAGTTACGTAAAATGCAAACAAGTTAATATTCTTCTTAGTCATCTTTGCTATTTTACAAACTTCTTGACTATGTAATAACTTGTTGCCAACGCCTAAGAATCAAGCTATCTTGAATTCTGTAACTAATTCATTTTCACCCTTCTCTTAAAACTTAGATTTCTTGTTACTAATACCTATTAGTTATTTATTTTGATGACCTTTAACCTCTTGATTTCACTCTCACCTATAGCTAAAACAGGTTAATTAAAATAACCACTTGAATGGTACAAAAAAAATTTTTGATGAAAAAAAACTATTAATATATAACTATATATTAGTGTAGAGCTGGCCAGGCGATGATGAGAAACTAATTGAAAAGGAATATATTTCTTCGCTGAATCTGTTCTGTTTTTTCTGAATGCGTAAATGGGAATTTGAAAATATATTATTATTTCTATAATCATCAAATGAAAGAAACGTCCTATCAGTATGGCTATGTGAAATAAAATAGTATTTTTATATTTTGAATATTATTTTTAGAGCTGGACATATCAATTGATAATTACCTGTAGATCTTGTTGCTGCCTCATGTTTGATTGGCGTAGTTGGCTCAATTCAGAATCAAGTTGTTCAATGCGTGATTTCAATAAGCAATTATCATTGGACATGGCCTTAGAATAGAAGAAATAAAAGAATACAGGAATGACTTTTAGGCAGACAAACACAGAAATTGCATTACACGAGTTATATATATATATATATATATGCATTCAATACTTTTTGTTACTTTCTGTTGCATAGGAAACAAAGAATCCATTGATTTTGATTTGAAACCATGTCTTGTCACGTCTCGGGTCAATTAGTCACATTCTCTCTCACATTCCAACCCTTCATCTTACGGTACCCTGTCACTCTGTGCTTTCCAACCGGCTTCAGGAATATCGAAAGGCTAACTGTACAGGAGCAGTTGGGAAGACTTTCTGAACATATTTAAGCTACTGAGGCCTACTTTTAAAAATGACATTAACAACCGCGATACGACCTCTGAAGTGTCAAACACTGTAGAACTTCAGCATAGCCACTGAATGTAAACAGCTCTACGGAGAGAGTAATGATCAAATATTCAGAGCCAATTTACACTCTTAGCTTAGAGACGACGTGTTTCACAGATTTTGAGCTGGACTGTAAACACTGAAGCTGCGCAAATCTGAGCATCGACAACCGGACTGACATAGCAACAGCGCCAATGTGAGTTATCTTGAACTTCCTGACAGATTCTACGGGATGCCTAATTAGGTACAATACTTTTAACTATTTTATCCTTTTATTAGACTTTCTGATGTGGTCGGTTATTTAGGCATTTATTGATTAGGCATGAGATGAACTAAAATTTATATATCTACTGGAGCGCGATGGTATTTTATTAGACATTGGCCCTTATTCTGTTCGTTTTATTTTACTATTCACCTTAGCTAATTATCCTTGTTCATTTTCGAACACAAATGTATTATTATTATATCCTTTAGCTCCTAGAGGAACATAGGGCTTCAGCTGCGCACCTCCATTGCCTTCGGTTTTCTACCAACTTTTTCACTCTGCTCCAAGTCTGCCCAGATGCTTTCATCTCCTGCTTTCATGATCTCCTCCAAGTCACCCTTGGACGACCAACTCGCCGTTTCCCTTTCGGGTTCCACTTTCGATTCAGTGGGTTACTTTTTGCAGTAATCTATAAAACTTTCATTTCTTTGCTATTGCTCACCACGAAGTTCTGGAAATTATTGAATTCCGTTAACTTTCAAACGCTTAAACCCTGGATTTACTATTATTCACTACTAATACCCATAACAGAGTTTTTGGACATTTGTATCTTTTAATAACAACCTATACGTAAAATTGTATATATTATTGGATTTATATGTTCAAGTTGACCCAAGTCAGTGAGTCTGTGATTTTGGTGTCATTTTAGTTAACTGTGCTGAATTATATTTCATGTTGTTTTATTGTAACGTTGTTGCCGCTTTTTGTCCTTTTGCTGTGAATTGTTTTCCTTTTGTTGGTGTTGTTCTGATTGTTTCATCCCTTGTTATCTGATTTTAAGGGGAGCAACCCAAAAGGTCGCTTCTCTCCAAACTTTATCTTAATGTAACCATTCCTTTCTCAGACGTGAGGCTAGTAACCCCACCCTGTAAACAAAATTGCTACAGAATCTTCAGCACGATGAACCTCTTTGCACCAAAAGAAAAAGTCTGTGTGGGGACATGGAACGTCCACACTATGTACGAGACCGGTAAAGCTGCCCAGATCGTAAACACAAATGTAAGTTCGATTTTTTCTACTATAGAGTTATGTGTGCGAATAATCGAGAAGTACGTTCACTTTTAACAACTCTCCACCATACCTCTCTAGATTCACAAGGTTATCTACTATCACCAATGATAGATCTAATTGTTGTCGATTGGTTCATGCAACATACCGTAGGGAGCGAGAAGACAGGAATACATTGGTCCACTCATAAGAAAACTCTGGAAGATCTGGATTTCGCAGATGATTTATGTCTAGTATCACATACACTCGAAGACTTAGAGGTGAAAACCAACAAGTTGCCAAAAGAAGCAGCAAAGACAGAACTTCAAGTGCATGTAGAGAAGACGGAAGTGATGAAGATAACCAACCAACAGCAAGCAACAGTCACTATCAACGGAATAAATTTGAAAAAGGTTACTTCCCTCACCAATCTAAGAAGCATCACCTCAACTACTGCTGGCCGGAAGGGATGAGGATTTCGAAAGGCAAGGCACAACATTACTCTAAAATCAGTTTGGAGATCTTATGCACTCACTCAGCATGAAGAACAAGATTCGGATTTGCAAAACCAATGTTAAGTCAATTTTACGATATGGGTCAGAAACTTGGCGAGCCAGTAAAAGCATCTCCAACAGGCTACTGCAGACTTTTATCAATAGCTGCCTTCGCTGGTTCCATATTGAGGATCAAATAAGTGCCTGCAAAGAATTAGCAACAAAAGACTCTGCGAACGAACCAATCAAATCAAGGACCTATTGCTTAACAAATCTGTAGAAGAAAGTGGAGATGGATCGGAAACACGCTGAGGAGACCGTTGAGTGACTTCGCGCGCCAAGCCCTCGAATGGGACCCGAATGGGAAACGACGAGTTATGAGTGAGTCCAAGGGTGAAATGGAAGAGATCGTGTGAGAAGATGAGAGTCTATGGACAATCGCGGGACCGGCTAAAGAGGACTGCAGCAAACAGGACAAAATGGAGATGTGTTGTTGACGCTCTATGCTCCACTCAGAACCTAAGGGGAATCATAATACTATAATAACCTTTGGTTAAGGATTAAAAGTTTTAAGGGCCATAGTTGTTCTGCTATCCACGAAGATATCTACTACAACAAAGAATATTAGTGATCTCATCGGATGGCACTCTCATTGTGTTGAAGACTAAACATATGTTTAACTTCTCATCATATATAAACTCTATAGTACAGGAAATCAAATTTACATCCGAGCTAAAAATGGACAATAAGAATAAGCTAAAATTAAGCCCACAATTCGCAAAGCACTACTGATTGACGTGAGTGCCTTCAAACTACTGATGTTGGGAAACTTTCACAGACAACCTCAAAGGACAGTTCTGTCGAGTGGATCGAAGCTAATCCTAATATTAAATAAATACGATTACTGATCTGTGGTAAGTGCGACGACGTTCTAGAAAATGCGGGAGAATCAACATGTGATCGATTCGCTGTCGATTTGAACAAAACCAGGCCAGGTATTCATGGGTCAGTTTTCCATTTGTTAGCAAAGTCTGCTGCGCATCACAGCGGCTAGTATCTTTGAAAAGACTACTGACAGACTTATACTCTCGTGATTATCGTGCGCATTTCATCTGCACAAACTCACTAATAAACTGACAAAACTCTCTTGAAGTAACAAAACATAGATGAAGGTGTCTAATAAACAACAAGATAAATCACTAAGGAATTATCAAAAAAAAAAGTAGGGAATACTTTACTTGTGCCAACTCTTGCGTACGAACAAGTTCTGGTAGAGGAGTGGTGGGTATGGATGGTTGAGATACAGACATAGCTGCTGCCATTGCAGTTAACTGAGCTTCATTTTCCGTTAATTGCTCTCTCATTTTACATAACTCTAATTCGGCATCAGCTTTTACTTTTCGAGCATCCGCATTCGTCTGGTCTAAACGTTTGAGTAGATCACAGTTTTCGCTTTCAGTATTCTAGGTGAGGACAATAAAAATGTATTCACATAGTAATTACAATTAATAATACAGAAGCGATAAATAACAGTAATACACAATTTGTAATTTTTCAGTGGGTAACATTTGTTTCACGTAAAATGGAATTCCACATGAAAATTTGTTGTATTTTTTCGACAAGTAATACTACTCTGTTCCAAAATACTGCGGTTGTACATAGAGAGAAAATTTAGTAATCCAAAGAAAGTTTTAAAGCTAAACAAAGCGACTGTACTCATCGGACTAAATTACCTTGAGAGAATCATAAACTTAATCATAAAGTGTGAATTTGACAGTGGCAAATATTTGCATCTTTGGTCGCAAAGTGGTAGAACTTTTAGCAACTACTGAAGCACACGAAGACACGTGGTCTGATGGCAGGAAAGCAGGTCCCAGTGTGCATTTTTGGAGAATTCGCCTCTAATTTGAGAAGAATGGATAGGTGATGCTTACTGATATTAGTAAGGTATTTAATGGTGTCTTAGATTTATTGATAGACGAATAGATAGAGAAACATGATAGAAGGCAAAGAGTGAGAGTACCTGCTCTGAATGAAGATGCGGAAATAACCATATACTAGGATTTTTTTCTGCTCTATATTAATGAACTAACGAAAGCGACGTTTAACTTACTTTGCAAATACGAAGGTTTAGAGAGTAATTCACGAAAATAATGATAAACAATATCGTCTTATTTTTCATTCATTGGGAAAAACGAAAACTTTTATAATGCCAAAATTTTTCCAGTGTCAGAAGTGAATTCCATATTAATTTGTTTATTAGATATATCACACAGTGAAACAGTATTATTTACTGGGTGACGTTTCGAACACAATTTATTGTTCAAATCATAGTCAAAGTGAACTTATATATATATATATATATATATATATATATATATATATATATATTGGTATGTTAGAACTCTAAAGAGACAGATGAATAGTCTAAATGCTTCAATTTGAAAATATTTTAAGCTAAAGTACATTAACCCATCTTGACTAACTGTCCTGCCTTGATTATCCAAAAGACAGTGGTCTTGGGAACAAAAGGTGCCAGTTACTGTTAGCCACAACGTGAAGACAGTAGTACGTTATACTGCAACTATATCCAGAGAATTTCGTATTCTTTGGTTATTTTGCAGGGCTTTTGAATACTATCATAAGGATAAACTACGTTTAGCTTATGTAACACCTAATCTTGAGTACTGCATACACACAGTTAATCTTTGTTTCAACAAAAAAAGATGCTCTCCAACTGGAATTAAGGACAAGTACTAAGCTATTGATATGGACCCTCGCATTTCTTCTGTGAAGACATTGAAAAGTTCAAATCTTTCCGTACTAATAAACCGTAGAAATAGAGGCAATTTTCATGTCACATCTTACATAACGAACCTTGCCTAATTAACTAGCTCACTAGGTTTCTAGCCGGTCCCGAGTCCGGGTAGAGAGGGAGGGTTGGGTGTGGGGATAGCAACCCCACACCACTAAATCTTTCAAACCGCTAGAGAAACTTCAACACACAGAAAATATATTAAAAATACAAAAAATTCAAATAACAATCTTATTCTTCCCCCAAATCGGAGAGGCGAAATGACGAGAGCTGGCGAAAGCCTTTGGGAATCCAGTCAGCCAGCCCATTCGTATTCTCACGATGAAAGCTAGAGTAAGAATGAGTACTTGGAATGTCCGTACAATGTACGAGGCTGGCTGGGAAGGCTACCAAGTAGCCAATGAAATATGAAAATACGGCATAGAAGTTCTGAGTATCTGCAAGGGCATATGGAACGATTATGGATTATCCAAATTGGCTACTGGAGAGTCAGTAATCTACTCCGGTCATCCAGACGTCAACCATGAACACATTGAGGCAATGGGTGGCTATCATGATGTCACCAGTGGTAGCCAAAGCCCCAGTGCAGTGGGAACCAATTTCATCCTGCAGGATCATGACAACAAGATTCAACTCAGCAGGAAGGAAGGAAGGTTACAATAATCTAATGCTACGCATAAGGCTACAAACGACGCGAAAAAAGAGAAGGAGGATTTTTACAAACAACTACAATCAGTAATGGACAACATCCCGAACGGTGACATCAAAATCTTTATGGGCGATATGAATACCTGCTGAGTGGGAGCAAATAATACAGGAAGAGAACACATTGTGTGTCCAAAGGCTCTCACGCGGGGAAATGAACGAGAACGGAGAATTATTCGCAGACTTCTGCTCTTTCAGAGATTTGGTGATTGGAAGGAGCGTGTACAAACACAAGGATATGCACAAAGCAGCATGGATTTCACCTGACGAACATACCACAAACCAAATAGATTTCATCTCAATGCCACTCAAGGAAATGGAGACGCAGCCTGTCGGATACAAAGTCGAGAAGGGGAGATGCGGGCTCAGACCACTGTCTAGTTTAAGGAACCTTCAAGGTGAAGCTGAAATCCATGGAAACAAATGGAGACAGACCACAACTCAAGTTCAACATTCAGAAACTGAAGGACAAAACTACTAGGGATGCCTTCGCAACAAATATCAGAGCAAAGTCGGACACACTACGTGATATTACTGAGGAAACCTGTATGGAAGAACATTCGAACTCTCTGAAAGAAATATTTAAAGAAACGCGTACAACTGTTCTAGGAAGGAAGAGACAAGACAAGGAATGATTCTCAACGGACACCTGAAAGCTGATCGAGAGGAAGATGGTGAAAGAGATGACTCAATGCAAGGATGGAAAACAGAAGGAGGAGCTGATTTCAGTGTACACTGCACTGAATAAAGAAGTGAAGAAGAGCGCTAGTAGAGAAACGACAATACTACAACACACTGGCAATTGAAGCAGAACAGGCCGCAGGCAAAAAAGACATCAAGACACTACGTCAGATAGCCAAGTCTCTATCCGGGAAGAGATCAACCCAGATGATGCAACCAATAAAAGGTACTCAAAGGAACCGGATCACCAAAGCGGAGGAACAAATCAAACAATGGGCTGATCACTTCAAAGGACTCTTGTATCGACCACCACCAGCAACTCGTCCAGAAATACCACCAACAGCACTCACGGAAATGCCAGTAGACACCACTCCTCCAACGAAAGCAGAAATCATGAATGCGATCAAGCTACTGAACGTTGGCGGGGAAGGCAGCGGGACCAAACGGCATTCCTACCGAAGCACTGAAGACTGCCGCGGAGATTACGCCAGATGCTCTTACTCCAATACTGCGAAAAGTTTGGAGAGAAGGAAGGGTGCCTACTGATTGGAAGAAGGGCTACCTCGTCAAACTGCCAAAGAAGGGCGACTTAGGCCTTTGCAAGAACTGGCTTGTAATAATGCTCTTGTCCACGCCAAGTAAAATACTAAGTCGCATTATCCTGGAGAGAATAAAGGATGCACTGGATAAGGAACTCCGCCCGGAACACGTTGAATTCAGGAAAGGTGAGTCATCTGCCAATCTGATCAAATTGCAACTTTACGCATCATCGTCACAGAACAAAGCATAGAATGTCAGTCAAACCTCTACCTCAACTTAATCGACAGTGTTCACCGAGAAGTAATTCGGAAACTACTTCAACACTACGGCGTGCAGTGCCCAAGGTCTTTATCAATCTCATTCAACAGCTATATGAGAAAATGCCACGTGTCAAGTGATCCACAACGGAAAACACAGAGAGGCCTGTTCCTAAAGTGAATACAGGAGTGAGATAAGGTAGCCCATTATCACCGGTGATATTCTTAATTGTGATGGACTGGATTATGCGTCAGACTGTTGGGGGCGAGGAGTGAGGAAAACGCTGGACCACCGGTAAGAAGACTCTAGAAGATATGGATTTCACAGGTGATATATATCTGTCACATAAACTCAAAGACTTGGAAGCGAGAACCAACAAGCTGGCTGAAGAGACAGGCAGTAAACCAGGATTTCAGGTGAACACACAGAAGACGGATGTGATGAAGATAACCAACCAACAGAAACAACAACTAGCACCATCAACGGGAGAGGTTTAATGGAGGATGCCTCCTTCACTTATCTAGGAAGCATTGTTCAACTACAGGCGGAACGGACGAAGATGTCAAAGTCAGAATCGGAAAGCCAAGAAACGTCTTCATCAGTCTGAAACTAGTTTGGAAATCTTCCGCACTCAGCATAAGGAACAGCACCAATGTGAAGTCGGTTCTTCTATACGGGTCAGAAACTTGAACTGCTTCTCACAAAAAGGATTTCCAACAGTTTACTGCAGCTTTCATCAACATCCACCTTCGCTCCATAGTGAAGATCAAATGGCCAGAAAGATTTAATAACAAGAAACTGTGGGAACAAACCAACTAAGAACCGATCGCTCAACAAATTTGTAGGAGAAAGCGGAGATGGATCGGGCATACATTGAGGAGGCCGCCGAATGACATCGCATACCAGGCCCTCGAGTGGAATCCGAATGGGAAGGGACGAGTGGGTCGTCGGTGGTAGGGTGACATGGGGGAGATCGTGTGAGGCTAAGATGAGAGTTTGGTCAATCGTGGACCCAGCTGAAGAGCTTGGCAGAAAACTGAGGAAAGTGGAGATGTGTTGTTGAAGTCGTATGTTGCACTCGGAACGCAAGGGAATAGTAATAGTAATATTAGATAACAACTCTAATTTTTGGACTCTTTAAAAGATAAATTTAACAGATGAACAAACGACATTAAAGGCTGTGATACAGTAAACTAAAGGTGAAATTTAGATATGCTGATGACTGGAGTTTATTAGTGAATGCAGGTCCTTCAGTGAATATTTTCATGAAGAAAATGGACCACCGAAATAAATAGTCAGCATAACTATTTAGAATGGACTATTGACACTGAATCTGTAGACGTCCTTAACCGTACTTTCAAAAGATGATTCAACGAATAAATATCAACTAGCATGATTTGACTGACGCCGTGCCATCGTAAAAAGAACAGTTATAAGTTGGATGCAACAGTCGTCCTATAAACACATTTATGCATACACATTTCCCTTGAGAAAACTGACAACCTTAAAGAACAGGTTATTACTGAAATTGAACGCAAACATATACCAGCTTATGAACAGTAGTCATCAGAAGGGGGAAGCTGGTACACTATGATGATGTACGGATTCTGATAATATTTAGTGGTATGTCGTAGTTAATAATGCGCGACTTACTTTTAATTTTCTATCCAGTAGGTTATTTTGATGCTCCAGACTTTTGTTCGCCCTTAAAAGTTCGGTATATTGCATTTGTAGCACTTGTAAACCAAGAGAAGTCTCTTCTTCCTTTGAACGGAATCGTTTATTCTCCTCGGCTAAGGAATTTGCCCATCGTGAAGTTTCTGATAATTTGTTTTCGCTGGCCTAGCGTATAAAAGAAATGTGACTTTTAGAATGTGACACAAATGGTCTAAGAAATTTCACGAAAGTGTTCCAGAAATCTCAGAAAATGATACGAGCTGACCAAGAGCTTTCGCGACGAACATGGACAGTGGTGGCCACAAAAGTGAAGAAACAAAAGCGATCAGCAGTAAACAATGCCAAACAACTATTTAGACTCATCAGGATAACGGGTTTTAAAACAACAGTGGAAAGGAAAACAATTTTCAAGAACGGTACTCTAATTGCCTCTCGGGCAGAAGATTGGAACGTTGGAGGGAAAATTTCGAGACGAAGTTCAATTGGCTTACAGCCAGCGTAAATTTGTTCAGAATCCAACATTCCATTTAAATGGAAAGTAGGCAAGAGTCCTCTAAATGTAACGAGTCGCAAAGGCTTCCTCTAATCTAAAACGAGGTAAAGCAACTCAGCCCCATGATTTTACTTCAGAGCTATTTAAGGGTGGTAGTTATGATCTCTTAACTAGGTTAATCAAACTACTAATCAGTGCATGGGAATATGAGATAGTCTCACTGAGGTTGATGCAAATCACAGATTATCCCAGCTAATAAAGGGGAGACAGGTCTTATTGTGATAATCAAAGGAGGATCAGATTGATTAACATAGTATCTGAAATTCTAAGTTCTGTAATCCTGTGTAGAATAAGCGGTGTTTAAGAAAAACGAACCTTCGTAAACCAGGCGAGCTTAATGCTGGGAAGACGGTGGGTGGATCATACCTTCACCCTTTGACAGATTCTGGGACATAGGCATACCTGACAACGTCTAACACTTAGCATATTCACATGTTTTATCAAAAGCTGACATCGGACAGAGAACCGTTGGGAAACAAAGGCATATTGGCTTTCTAGTGGTTCTCTAAGTGAGGTTAGCTCGCGATCAGGTCTGCAACCAATCGAATCCATGCAACTCAACGCTTTGAAAATTGGCATATTTATTGACCTGTAATTGGTATTTGACTCCATTAAACGAGAGGATCTGTGGCAATGTTTGGCCGTGAAGGCTGTGCCAAGAAAGTATATCGCACCAATCAAGGCATTTTACCTGAGCTTGTGTAAGAGTTTTTAAAGAGATATCATCTAAGGTGCTGAAAAAAAGTTTTCCTTCAGAAATACCCTTTGCCGAAAGTTTTATTTAACTTCATCATAGATGTAACCATGGATGTGGTTCCAATCGACCGTAAAGACTTTGGCATTGATGTGTTACCGCGGAATAGTTCCGTCTATCTAAAATATGCGGATTATATTGTTTTTCCTGGTGATACTGACAAAATGTAGTCTCTTGAACACTAAGCAGAAATCTTGGTAAGTCTGGCATGCGATTGACTCCTATCTGTCGTAAGACGATGCTGCAGAACTAGTATGCACTGACTTTAAGTGTTAAGATAGGCAGCATCATGGCTTAACCTATTGACCAATTTCCTTATTTGGGAAGTTGCATTAGCCTTAATGAACCGGTCTCTGACTAAATCTCAATGCTCGTGTGGCATTTGCATTAGCATAAACATGATGTCCAACTGTCAACAAAATGACCTATGTAATAGTAGCAGTCCGCTTTGTCATTCCCTATGGCTAGGAGATACACCTGTTAGGGATATAAAGTGGTCATGATTGTAACTATAGATGCCCACATTCAGAACCTCGTGTTGAATACAGCAATAGAGTCAGTAATTATGAGGTTAGGGACAGCGGTAAGGTGGGAAAGGTACTCGATTCGCTTCTGAGGCTGTCAGTTAAGATAGTTTAGATGTGTTACTATCACCGAGCCACTGCCTTCCTCGACAAGCAATATTAGCCAAATTAGGATTAGGCTGAAAAGGAATTAGAGTTGTTCAAAGTAAAATTTAACACCAATCTATGAATTCTTTGAATTGTGGACTTAGCTACGTGTATTGATCTAGATTGCCAAGGAGGGATCCTTTGGATGCCAAGAATTAGTGGCTGGAGACTGTAAGTGGCAGCTCAAAGTCATTCGCAGTGATGCAGATGTGTTTACTTCTTGTTATCATTCAGATTCTTAAGATCCTCACTAATCTTCAGTCAACTATTCTTCTATCCATACTATTTTCCACTGTGGTTTCAGTGCATTACAGTTCTGTAATTTTGCGTGATTTTCCGAAGTGTGGCTACTTAAACAGATGCGCATTTGAGCAAAGTCTGACTTGGATGATTTAGTCAGGACACCCAACACTTATGAAGTGACTCAATTCGTGAATGTATAAAATGATTTCCAATGTGATCTGTTCAACGTCGTATGACTACAATATAGAACAAAATAACTAACAAACAACGCCATTTTTTATGTTGTTAACGAAAGCATTTAGTAAACCACTTCCCTACTCAAAACATAACAAACCAATACAATTACAAGTATTACTGTGGTAACTCACCTTTAACTGTTCTTGTAGCATCTCAATTTTCGCATGTAATTCAGAAGAAGCACAAAAATCGCGTTGTGATTCCTGCTTCTTACTTACTGTGCATTCAAGTTGCATTCCCTCTTCATGCGGCTTCACTGGCTGCTCACTACCAGCTGAATCAATAGATGACGCCTCTTTTGACAATTCACCAGACCCTATTGACCGTTTCGTTGCACGACGCTTTGATTTCTTTGATCTAACCATAGGTTGCGGTTCTTTTGCTACTGAAGGAGACACGGTAGCTGTTATGTTGTTTTCAGTACATGAGGAATTAATTGAGTCAGAATCGTCATGCTGACTCCTGTTAGTCTCAGTATTTAAGGAACTTGAATTAGAGCTTTTGAGGCAAGACTGACCAGTCTGATATGAAGCATTATCAAGTTCAGTTTTCGTTTGCAAGCAGTTTTCGGTCGTATGTAATGCTTGGGTTGGTCTTTCAATTGACTCTTCACTACTGCTAGATGCACGGCTGTCAGATGGTACGTCTGAAAGATGTTCATCCTCTTCAGCAGTTGTATCATCAGATGTCTGGGTTCTATCTGTATCAACTTCACCACTTTGTTGACCGTCTACTAAGATTTTCACCTTCTTAGTCTTCTTAGACTTTTTAAATTCTCCTTTCTTCTTTTTTCGGAATAAATTCTCTGAATCTTGAGTAGCAGAAACATATGAAGCAAACAATGTTTTTCTGAACACATAACAAAGCACACTCGATACAATACAGACAATTACTGTGATGAAAATCCCCTGTATATAATTCTCCAGATCCCAGTCCATAACGAATTTCACCTAAGAAGAAAAAATCTGAGTAAATGGATAGCACAAAATAGAAACACATAATCATTGCGGTTGAAGTGCTGCAGAGGTGAAGTGAACAGAAGAGAATCGATAAGCAAAGAAGCTCCCTGATATTTTGCACAAATGATCGTTTCTCAGAATAGTAATAAGCTTTATTTTTTTACGAAACATGAACCGGTGAGTTGATCTGTCATTAACAAGAATTGTAATGACACCTTGCACCTAAAGCCATAAGCCAACTAGCGACTTCACTTTATTAATAAACTACTGTCAACATAACTATCTCGCTTAGGTGTTCCAAGCGACCTTTATGACAGTCAAATCGAAAATCCTTTTGGCATTTTAGAACATCTTAAGATGGCACACTTAACACAACTGGTGGCCTAGTGATCTGCAATTTTCAATGTCCTGATCTATACATCACAGTGAAACTATTCAGAACGGAATAACTATTTTATAGCTGTGATTACTAGGGAAGAAAATAGTAAGAAATCACTTTTGTTCGGCTTATTCATTTAAAAACTGCCAGTAACCCGCGCTAAGCTAACCAATGAGAGAATCATTCCTGTTCACAAGTTCAACAAAGGGTAATGCCCTCACAATTCACTGATATCTACCAAAACAAGAAATGCTGACACGGCCCTGTTGACACCTTTACAAAATGCAATCTCATGGGGCCACTCACAGGTTTGAGACCACGCAAATATCGCGAGCCAGTATGTGAACTCTTAAAACAACGCTAATAATATGATCGAAACTGCATGCGGCCAAACAAATACCTTCAATAAACAATGTTCACCATCCTAAGAGAGCTTGAATGGAATTTCTGCAACTGATGAGAAACTTTAAATTTTTTAATCATATATTGAAGTTTTTATGGTTACTTCTTTGATAGGAGGATGTTGGGGGGTAACAATGGAATCCTTATATCTTGCAGCAAAAGTTGTAATTCAGTAAGCTGTAAATTTTTAAACACACGTCTGTGATATTGGATTTCATGTATAGAACTTAGTTCCTTATTCCTCTCTTCGATTTCAAGGAAATAAGAGATAATGATCATGGTTATTGTAGTCACTAGGTGCTTCTAAGTGCGTAGGTCTATTGGTTAGGTGAGGGAGGAAAACGTTTAAGATCCAGTATATTTTTTGTACGCTTTTACAAACATGGTGATGTCTTTTCAATGGCAACAACCGGTCCCCTTCCTGTGTTAGGTTTTGTACAGTATATCTACCCCTCAGTTGTTGTAGCCCTGTTGGTTACAGTAGATGGTGAGATAAGCCCATCTTGTGGGAAAGTGAATGGTTTAATTTTTAATTTTAATTTTAATTTTTTAATTTTTGATTACAGCTTGATTCCACACCGTATTTTTGGTCGGCGAGAGTCCCAACCACTGGAGGGAAATGATGAAAGACTAAATAAAAAGTTGGAGTGAAATAAATACAAAAGGCAAAAGAGAAATACAAACAGAGGTGAAATAACAAAGTCAATTAAAGTGGAGTGTGAATATTGAGACAGTTGTGTTAATGCTATAATTCAACAGAACTCGTCATCTTTTCTCATCTGAATGCAAGCCTGAGAGGAGCGAAGGCGAAATTTAGGTAAAGTGACGGCAGTTTATTTTATTTTGTGGATCCTCTTCATCTGTGAACAGCCAGGAATGTTCAATAAAGACAAGTTAGAAGGCAGTTTTGTCAGTTTTTGGTTGTTTAACGGGATTAAAAATTCTAGGAATGGATAATGTAGATTCTTTAAAATCGGGCGAAATGTAGGGGCTTAAATTCAACTAAGGTGTTACAAATATGTGTTTAGTTATACTTAATGTCCTATTAAAATCAAGGAAAGAAAGTGTTTAGATCATCTTAGCTGACTTAATCACCTAGCCTTCCCTTGGAATTAATACCCGCCGTAACAGTGTCCATCTCAGCAAGCAGTGCGTTCTTGAGAGAACAAGATGTTTTGAATTACGGCAGTGTTCTCCTGGCAAAATCTCCCTGTTCGTTCGACTTAGAATCTTCATAAAGTGTTATCAAATCAGCCTCCAGTCCTCAACATATGAGTGACCACCCTTCTAGACGGATCAGGATGCAGCCAGTGGTTTAACCGGTGGATGGCCTTTGTTACACATACCTTGTGAGGTTAAGGCCTATCCACAGGAGTGATATGACGAAGTCGGGAATCTCAGGAAAAGCCATGGGCGCGTTTTACACAGCTTTGTAATCACATCCATCCACATGCACATAGATTGGGGGGCTATATCAGCTGTGCTTCCTAGGTAGGGGAATTTGCGTCTAGTTTCTCATCCGGAACACTGTATCGTCTAGTAGACTGGATTAATCCTATACCAGTGGGGAACTGTCATTTATTTGCACGAGATCGATATCTGTTTCCCTAGCTCTTCATCACTGCTACGGCATCTTCCAACCCTAGGGAGTCTTCTTCGATCCTCATAGCCCCCATTATCGTTGCAAAAATAAGGACTATAAAGCTTGAGTTAACCAAGGGTTTTCTGCTTAAGGCAAGATATAGTAATTGTCCCTGTGATATCACAGGAAGGAACATTCTCCTTGCCAAGGTTTTACATTATGCCTTCATTTAGGAGACCTTTCCTCCAGGAAGGCTTCAGTTGGCAAGAGAAGCAGATTATTCACTTTCCTTTAAAAGCGCATGATCGGTTCAGTATGATGCAAACACAGTCAACAGCGGGACATTTCCTTCTTTTAGGACAGTACTCCACTTATCTACACTCCAAGGTTTTCATCACTCCTGGGGCTTGTATCATATATCAGTGATGGAAGCAGGAAGTAGAATAGAATACCGCTACCGGGTCAGTTACTGGTGATTTAGAAACCGCTTTTCTAATTAAAGTAATTACTCAGATTGCCTATCGACTACCTGTGATATTATAGAAGGCCAGTAATGTTTACGAACCTTTATTTCCAAAAGCACAGCAGAGGACAAGTGCAGCGGGGAACACCTAGTCAAACACACGGAAGGGCATTCATCATTCAGTAGATAAAGAAGGCCGTACAAGTCATAAGGTCACTCGTTCTGCCTCCCAGAATTTCTCATTTACTTACAACATCTGAGTAGCCATAGCATGGTGCGTTGTAGAGGCAATACACTGGAACAAATCACTCGGTAGATGTATAGGACCCCATTATACTAACTGGTAACTCATGACCCTATTTGGAACTCCCGCTGGAGATTTTTACGAATGATGTTCTGGTAGCCTCTTAAGAACCATGCCTAAATTAATCCGAAGTGGGACAGTTCGATGATTCTGAGTGTGCAGTGAAATGCCGTCGGCCCAGATGTCTGATGAGTGAGTCGCTGGAAGCCCCAGCTATTTATCCCTAAATGTCACTAACGGTTTACCACTAGGGCTTTTGCAATACATGCACCCTGACTAGTGCATGTCGTATTGGTCACGGACTGGTATAGGTTCTTAAGATAAATCTGAAATTTCCTATCTCTATTTCAAGTAATCCAAAGAGGAACAGCCGAAATTCGCTTGAAGTTAT